TGCTATTGGTTTGTATGTTAAAGTATATAACTATCATTAATCACCATTCTAAAACTCTCATATTTGAGGTTAGGTTTATAACACTTAACATTTGTAAAAGGATCAGTATTGATTTAATGTATTTATTGTGCCCAGAGGAATAGGATTAGTTCAACCAAAAAAAGTCCTGAAAGATACATTTGTATCTGGGGCAAGATATTGATGGAAATAAAAACAGTCAGAATGTATTTATCTTGACATGTTTTTGTTTTTTTTAAAGCTGATAACATATCATTTTGTTTTAGCTCATCTGAGCTCTAACAAAGGTCTTTTTTTATTTAATTTATTTAAACTGAACCAATTTAAACTTTATAAAATAAAAGCAAGTTTGGTCTGCTAGCATGATTTTTGTGTAAGTGCAACTTTTTTTGAACATATCAATATCAGGAACTTCCCATTCTGTAAATAAATTACTTGTAACATTTAATGTGCCATTGAAGAGCATGGACTAATACAATTATTATTTAATGAAGTCCTCTGGGGTCCATTTAATTTCTCCTTTTTTTCCCCTTCAAAATTGTTCACTTTTTTACTCTTGTTATAAAATTTGTTATAAAATGACATATAGGAAAAAACAGGTTTATCTTACATTATCATTGATTGGAATTCATATTTCATTATGAAATACATATTTTGTATCACAGTCTTGGAACATAGCTTTTGTTCAATTAAATTTCCCTGCTTAATGGTAATATTTATTGTTATATTTCTAAAAAATTAAGAAAGCAAATTAGTAGTAGATTATAAATATTTTATTGTTTATTTTCATGATTACGCTTACTATACATGACTTTTGTAATATTTGTAAGAAAATAATTACATTTAAAATTAAGTGAGCATAGAAAAAATTTGGAAAAATGGCAGTTGTACTTAACCTATTGTAATTATTTGTAAAGTTATTAGTTGTAGATGTAATGGCAGCTTTTATTTATTTTTGCTGTACACTAACCTTTTGTTTTGTTCAAAGTAGTTCATTTTGAAAACAAATATGTTGTGAGAAGAAATTCATCAAAACTTATACAGTTGATAAATACTTTTTTTTTCCCATTATAAAAATAAGTTAATTTTTCTATCTTTATTTTTGTAAACATCAGATGAAATATTTTTGTAAAAACGCTTGTCAGTTCTTTTCTCTATTACAGCTCTTATAAGTTGATAGATATTTATTATTTATGCATATGTCTTTTAATATAAATTTAAGCAAATTTTGTTTTGCTATTCATTTATACATAATATATATATATACATATATATAATTATATCTTCAGTGACAACTGTTTAATGTTTTTCAGACTTATGTTTGGTTGTGCAACATTAAATTACTTTGTTTTTTTGTGTGTTGTGAGTTTCTGTTTTCACGAAACAAGGTTTTGCGAGTGACTTTGAAAATTGAAAAGCAAAAGCATATTTTTATATATGTTTGAGCTTGCAACGTATCAGTGCTGAAATTCATTTACTAACAAATCAGTGCTCTTAATTTTGATGGTTGAAAGTGAGCAAAAATGTTATTTAATTTTTAAAAAAAAAAATATATATTTAAAAAGCATTTAAGTGGTGCAAATAAAAATATATAATACTCATGAAATCCATAACCTAGTTAGTTGTCTTCTTTTTTTCACCTTTAAAATTTGTGAAATGTTGTTTTAACAATTATGTTGACCTTAAATTTATGGTATAAAAAAGGTTGGCGTTTAATTCTTTACATTATTATTTATCAAACCTTAGGATGAAAAAGCAGCAAATTGAATTTGTAATGACAAATTTTCAGTTGCTCTTAAGATATTATTTATGTTCATTTTATGAACTCACAATGGCAGCTTTGCTCAACCTCATTCTTGAGGTACAGGAAATCAGTTGTAAGGACTCATGAAGTCGTTTCAGTTTTTAACAAACAGGTGCCGTGCCAAAAAATAATCTCACCTCTTCAAAAAATGACCTGTGGCATTGGAGCCACTGTAAAGCAATAAAGTGACTACTGCCAGGGGTCGGTAGAGTCCTATGTTAATGATATGTTGTATAGCACAACCAACTAGATTGTACTAGTTGCCAGTATGTTAGTTGGGGCCATAAAGAGCGGAAATACTAATGAGAAACTACCCAAAATACCTAATTTAAAGAAATTTAAACTGAAGGTTTTCCATTTAGAAATAAGATTTAAAAAGATATTTTTTGTACTTAAAATATAACTATTTTAGCTTGCTTTTCAAGATGTGTCATTTCCTCCTCTGCGAGTCAATTTATACCAGTTACATTTAGAGAAGAATACAATAAAGAATTTCTTTTTAACTTCTTTAAATTAACTTCGCCTTTTTTCCTAGCAGGCCGGAATGCTAGCTGGCAAAATCTTCGGCCGGCTAATTGACCCATTTCTCGTCAACCCATCGAGCTGAAACTTGGTATAAAGACTCATTGCCGATGGCAACACATTCTGTCAAATTTTCAACCCAACCATCCAAAAAATCAGTCAAGGGAACATGTAGGAAATATGATTTCACGAAATAAAATCCCGATAACAGCGCTAAATGAGAACCTTTATTTTAAATATTGCAAGCGTGTTTGGTGCGCAAAATATTTTTTTTTGTGTTTTTCTGAAATAGTTGGTGCAATAAATCATCTACGGTGTAAAAGCGTGTCGGTCTATGTAAAATTAATATAGTTTAAGGGCGTGAAAAAAAATTCGGTTGCTAGTCTGGGGGCGGGGCGCGGCAATAATCAAGATAATTGAATCAAGACAAGTGCTTTACTTGAACGCATGTTTTGACAAGTTTTCAGTCCGCCCCCCCCCCCGGCCCCATTGCGCGATATACATTTTATGAAGGATGTATACGGAAAACTTAATTTTTAGTTGTTAAATAATAATAATTGTTTTTAAATTTTAATAAAGTTTCAAAAAAATAAAATACAAGATACATTTATTGGAAATTTTAAATTCCAAATATGATTGACATCTTAGAATTATTCGTTTTAAAATTTAGGATACATTTTGCTAATATAATATAATAATTAAATTATAAATGATCGAGTTCTTATATAAGGAGACATATAAGGAGACTGTACTGTAATGCTTTAAAAATAATGACTGTATTTTTATAGTTCGTTATACCAGAAGTAGCCTACCATTTTATTTTTAATTGCGGTTTGAAATGAAAATTGATGATTCTCTGCTTGCTATATTATCACTGACGCCTTCATAAATACATTAATCAAGAAATCGTTTCAGTTTGTAACTCTAAAATATGTATGAGCTTCGCGGGCATTATAAGTTTTTAAAACAGGCGATTTTGAGTTTCATGCCGATTAAAAAAAAAAAAAAAAAAAAGAAGAATTTACAAGTCATCACATGGTGGCATATCCCTTTGGGGGCGTCCATTAATTACGTCAACAAAATTAGGGGAGGGGGTGGAAATGTTTGACAGTTGTTGACAAAAGGGGAGGGGAGTTTAGATTAGTTGAGATCAACAATCATGTTTTCTCTATTAAAATTTTAATCTTAAAAATTGACTTGTTATTACATTATTTTAAAAAATGTATAAATGTAAATGACTGTAAATAGTCATATAATTTTTAGGATTTTAACAATATAAGATTTATTTAATGTGTGTCTGTGCACGGCAGATGGCTGGTCAGAATGTCAGCACACTTTGTTAGTGCAAGAGAAGTCAAAAGTTGCCCTTCACCTGTAGATTCTGTTGCAGGTATGGAACAAGGACAATGTTCTAGTGTTGTGCAGTCAAGATACATGACATGGTATTGATAGAGTAGGAATACGATATTTAATAATAAGTAAGGGAATGTAAAGTGAGTAACAATAATAACATTGCTGCTTGAACGGATTTGAAAAATCTGTAACATCTATTTTGCATCACAAATCATGTTGAAAAAGCATGTTCAACAGCACCGAAAATGCCCTCTTGAGCAGAAGAAATTACCACCTGCTCCTCAACAAAAAAGGATTCAACCAATGCGAGTAGCTGCAAGGAGATAGAGAGAGCTTATGGCAATTACTGCTCACACTGACAATGCTTCTATTTTAAGTGCAGAATGGTTAGATGAGGATGATATTGACTTGTCTGGTATATCAGTGCCACAAGATGAAAATGATCAATCAGCTACTATAGACTGCTCATTAGGGGCGTCGTTTCATGTTTTTTTTAATTTTTTTTTTTTAAAAAAAGGTGGGGGGGGGGGCAAAAACCAAAACTTGGTCGGCTTGTTAAGTTTTTTATTACTGGAGTCACCACAGTACATATCAATTTAAATAAAACCTGCAAATTAGGGGCATTCTCTGATGCTGTCGTTTCATGTTTTTTTTAATTTTTTTTTTTTAAAAAAAGGTGGGGGGGGGGGCAAAAACCAAAACTTGGTCGGCTTGTTAAGTTGTTTATTACTGGAGTCACCACAGTACATATCAATTTAAATAAAACCTGCAAATTAGGGGCATTCTCTGATGCCCATCGTTACGGTAGAGCAAACCTGGCTACTCCTTGGAAAGATGATAGCAGCTAGAAACTATACCAGTATACATACTGCTTTACTGACAATAATCATATTTATACCACAAACAATGATATTTAGTCTTTTAAGAACCTTTCAATTGATTCTGCATTATAAAATTTAAGTGTAAAAACTTTTTAACTGGTTGATTAACAAGCTAAAGATGTAATGAAATGTTTTTCCTACAATTTTATTGACATTAAATTAGATCAGCACACGTTAAAATGAATGTATTTATAAATTTATTTATAATATAATTCCTTTTTTTTTGAGGGGGGGGGGGGTTAGAAAATGTTGACATATTAAAATAGGGGGGTCATTGAAAGTTTGACATTTGTTGATAATTTTGGGGGGGGGGTATTGAAAATTGCTTAAAAGTTGTTGACGTAAATAATGGACGACCCCTTGGGAAAAAACAAACAAACTGGTAGGTCATTTTTTGTACTGCTACCCGGTTTGCCACTCTTGTGGAAAATAAAATATAATAGGCCTAGCCTTATAAACAAGCCAGTCTTTATTTATTTTCTTTTACAGTTAAACAACTGTACCGGCCTAAATATTTGTTAACCAATAAGCCTGCAAATTAATAAGGATTTAACTATTTTAACCAGATCATGACAATAACACATGAACGCATCATTCAAAATATTTACTTTTAATAACAAATCAACTAGAGAGGTTCTTACTGTTAAAATTCCAGAGGTATTTTAGTATTATTAATTATTAATTAATGATAATGTAAATTAAATTGTCAATATGAAAATGATGATGATGGCGTTATTAAATGATTATTATTAAATAAATCAATAAATATTAATAAAATTATTATGATTATCACTTCAGTGTCAGTCACAATCAGTGAGATGAATCAGTGCTGTGACTATATTCTATATCTATGTCTATGACTATGGTGGCACGAGCCACTATCATTGGCATTGGACTTGGAGTAATAAGTCATAAGTCTACTCTCTCTATACTCTATGGCATTGGACTATGACTAATATTTACTATGAGTTGAGTAGGCCTACGTAGTATTATTATTATTATTATGTATGACTGAATAAATTCAAGTCCAAATAAATTAAATGAATGGATTGGATGGTATAACTATATATTAGGCATTTACTAAATCTACTATATGATTATGAAGAGCTTATTATTATTATCTTATTATGAATTTTTTGTCATTTAAAGATTGTTAATTAATGTTAGTGTTGGATACTTTTAGGCCATGATTCATGATGATTATTTACTGACTAAACACAGTATAATAATGATGTATATAATATATTATGCTATGGCCATAATATTATGCTATGGCCATAATATTATGCTATGGCCATAGCTAAAAACTATTTAATTTTCTTAACGAGGTATGGATTTAAAAAAAAACAAAAAGCAAAATGATATATTTTCGGACCAATCCATGCGAATGACAAGTTAATTCTGCACAACCGCACCACTAAACATCACTAAGTGAAACAACAAAAATGGCAGGGTGCAATGGCCTTTATTTTGATGAAAGTTGTTTCTACTGTAAAATCTTAAAAAAGAAATAAAGAATGTTCATCGCAAGACAAATAATAATCATTTTAAAGGTTTCTGCAAGGTGAGTTAACTTTTTATGCTTTATTGAGCTTTGTAGTAATAATGCCAAAACGACAACATGTTGTTGAAGTTTTAGTGCTTAGGCTACAAAATATGTGTATAGTATGAGTATAAAAAAAAATTATTTAATATTGTTTTGGTTGGAGTAAAAAATAAACCAGTAAAAACATTTAACTTTTTCTTTCAATAGCTGTAAAATACGAAATATATCATTCTAATTCATATAGCCTACATTTTTTAAAGCATAATAATAATAATATTAAAAAAACCTATTGACTTTTTCAGGCATGAGAAATTAAACCTGAAAACAGTTACATGTCATTCAGAATTCTATAATAAATCTGAAAAAAAGTCACAAGATTATGCTATAGTATCGATGCTTGATGTGGACGGAATCAAAAGGGCCAGAGTTAAAGATAGTGAAGGTGAAAAATCCAGCATAATGAGGTTAAAGTACATCCTATGCAGTGAAGGAGCTACGATACAAGACTTGAGGTTGCAGCATGCATTTACCATTCTGAACCAAGCTCTCATAGTCTCCTTAAAAAGGAGATAAACTGACAATTTTAAACCAGATGTTTTGGAGTCAAAGAGCTGTGTTAAAAATGCTTTAAAAAAAAAAAAAAGATATCCTTCTTCTCCTTGGTGCTGTGGATGTCGATGACAGAATACATACTAATAAGTACTACTCTGCAATTCCGCTGAAGATGCAAGCGAAGCAGACAGTTCATGATTTTTTAATTGTATTTTCTTTTTTTAACATTTTTTTTATAATTCTGTTTTATAAAAACACAATAATTAATAATGAATACATTATAAACTAGTAGCAGTCTATATACAATATTGCTGGGGACTTTTCAGCATTTATACTACTATTCTGTTAAAATACATCAATAAAACACATTAAGCATAACATGAAATATTTGGTACTGGGAATGTTATCCCATAAAAATGGATATACAGCATTTTGTCATTAAGTTGGATATAAAGCCTTTTAAGACAAAATAAAACCAAGTAAATAAAGACATTTTATGTACCTATATTTTAATTATCATCTTAGACTAACTTATATTATGAATATATTCCTAAATTGAGATTTAGTTTTACAACAATTTGAGCCATCATTATAAAGGAAAAAAGTTTGAATATCTCAAAACCCCAAAACTCGATAAAAAGCACTTTGAAAATGAGCTCTTCATACACATATATATTTTTTTTCATCAGTGTAATTTCAAAAGATCAAAAGGAAATGTCATAGATAAGAATAGCTGATGCGTTTAAGCAAAGCAAACAAAATTGCTAAATCCAATACATGTTTCATACCATGGGCTTTGTGACAATTGGTGCACTGACAGGATACCATGTATTAAGAAAGTGGCTTAAAGAAATAACTAGATTAAATAAAAATACAGCAATCTTATTTGATACAACTGAAAATAAATATTTTGTATCATCACATTTGGGTCAGGGAATATGAATTTCCACTAGCATCTCTTTTTTTGCTCTCCTTGATTAAGTGTAGAATGATGAAAAACTAAATTCTGGTATGCGCCAAAATGAATCTATGCAGTTTAAATTTTTTTAAAAATGTTCTAGAGAGGGCTTAGTGAGTAAGTGTTTGAGCAATAACTGGCTTAGACTTAGTAGAAGAATGAAGTGAAGAGAAGCCTACTTAGACTCTCTAGACATACAACTTGACTTATCTATTGTAAGTGTAACTACTATTATAGTGTCTATTCTGTAAATAGACCCTATTTATTTTGAATTTATTTAATCTTACTTGAACTCATTCATTGCAAGTTACTCAATTTTTTAGAAGTCTTATTTCAGTTGGAATTGTGGTGTTACTCTGAATCGTTTGTAAAGATGATGTAAATATAGTTTGGGCCTAGATTGCATAATTTACTTTAAACTGACAATAAACGTAACTACTTTTAAATTAAATCTTGAAAACTAACTGGACATTATAATTAGCTTCCTCAACTTGCAACTTTGACTGGTATTGTTCTAGTGTAGCTATCCTGTCCTAATATCCGGCCTGTTTGGATTTTGTCCTTGCTTTAAAAGTTCAATTTCATTTTATTAGAAATTTTTCTGCATTGTCTGAGAGAATAGAATCACTCATTGAATTGATATCGTAGCTTTAGTTTGGCTTGTAGTTCAAGAAACATTATGTTATGAAAGACACTGTTTTACAACTAGAGGCCTAAGTCTAAATACAAGTACTGCAATTACTCATTATTTATCAGTTTAGTTCATTCATTCATTAACTGATAAAATTGAGTACCCGGTAATTACTTCATTCATTATTTAGTTATAATAACTTTATTGTCATATCTTATTAAAAATGCACATTTAAAGATTTGTTATATCTCTCAGTTAACAGATGCAGACTATGGCCTATACATCTGGCCTTGTGCACCTGTTCTTGCACAGTATATATGGCTGAGGAAAGGTTTTATAACGGGAAAGAAAGTTTTAGAGGTAAGTAATTTACTACTCAAAAGCAGAGCCTTAAATTATATGGATTCAATTCAAGCAATGCTACCTCCTCACTGGAATATTTTAAAAAAATTCTTGTGAAATACATTATAAATCTGAAAGTAGTTTTTTTTAAATAATCTTTTTTGTTATGGTATCAAATTTGGTCTTGTTTTTCGGCGTAGTGAAAATATTCAATAACATGTTTGGCTTGATTACAATTAGTGTGAACACTACTCATTATTTATATAATCAGTATATAAACAGTGTGGCAATATAATATAATTTCAGATTTTGATTTCTATAAAGATGAAATAATTTGTGTTTTACGTCTTCTGGAACCCTCTAGAGTAAATGTTATTATAAAAGGTTATATTTAGGAGTCTGATGGTTTGCATGTTAAGACAATAAGGGCTCTACTTCATATTACCCCATTTTTGTAGGGAATACAAGACTTACTCCAAAATTGCTTAGGGATGCGCAATATGGTATAAATATGGTTTGGAAACACTGCTCTAGACAAATGTATGAGTTGGATATTCAAAAAGTTTAATCTGGAGATCAGACAACACATTAAACATTATTTTCTATGATACATATTGCACCTATATTTGTTCATAAAGAAATGTTTAAATGTGTTTTATTTTAAATTTTTTATTTAATCTTTATGACCAGATTGGCGCTGGCACAGCTTTGCCTGGTATTGTAGCTGCCAAATGCGGAGCCAAAGTTATCCTAAGTGATAGCACCAATTACCCATTATGTCTTGATATTTGCCACAAGAGTGCTGAATTGAATGATGTGACTGAAATCAGTGTTGTAGGAATTACATGGGGGCAAGTGACATCAGTTCTTGTTAATCTACCAAAATTAGACATTGTTTTGGCCTCAGATTGTTTCTACGACTCTAAAGGTTAGTCCAAAAAGATTTAGTAAGAAATTATAGCAACAATCTCAGTTTTAAAGTAAAGAATGTTATTTATTAATTACTTATAATACTATAAGTTATTAGCCAACATGGAACAACCACCCTCAGTATTTTGTTGGGAATGATATTAAAATCAGAAGGGGAAGTGCCAATTATTTCTTAAGAAAAATTAAGAAGGTACCGGCAATGCTTTTTAATGATGCTTGGTCCATCGTGGATAATATGTATGCTAACTTTTGATAACAGCACCCATGTTTTGGTTGGAGCCATGATACTGAGATTCTCAATAGATCTGTTCATATTAACTGACATGCTTACATTTTTCTGCCAGATTTTGAGGATGTTGTCATGACTCTATCTTATGTATTACATCGAAATCCAAATGCAGAAGTGTGGTGCACTTACCAGGAGAGGAGGTATACAAACACCTGTTTCCAAGTTTCATGAAAATTCCATTGAAAATTCTTACAAAGAATTTTATATTATTTTTTAAAAGATGTTGAAAAATATTTATTTGAGAGATGTAATAAAGGAGGGGGGGGGGGGGGGGGAGGGGGAGGAGACGAAATAATTTTTATATTGTGCTTCTAACAAAACATTTAATTTTAAAAAAATTATGCTACCACTACCATTATTTAAATAACGTTTTTACTTTTAATTTCTTTCATTAAAACAGTTCAGAGAGATCCATTGAACATTTACTGGACAAATGGGAGCTTTATGGTGAGGAAGTTGATGCCCCTGCAATGGACACAGTGACAACTACATTTGAAGGGCATTTATTACATGTAATTAAATTATTTATAATTAGACTGAAGAAAGAAATAAAGCCGCTCTAGTAAAAAGTACTAAATTAGCTAATAATTGATGATCATAGTTGTTTTTGTAAAAATACAAATAAATTCTTGAGGAAGATTTTATAAAATTTTATAATTAGGTTAGTGATAACTTCACAATCTGTTGCCTAATGCTAATAATATTGTAGTAATTTTTTTCTTTCATGCATGGATTTTAAATTTGGTTTGATTTATTTGTAAATTTGTGACTCAACATTTGCCAAATCATATGAATAAATATAGGGATGACTTAGCAAAAAATGATTTTATTAAAAAAATGAAACGTTTCATGTAAATTGAAGAATATGTCCTGAACTGGTTTTAACTGATTCGGTGAGCTGTGGCAAGCCTGACAAAATGACATTGTTTTGTTATCACTTATAATATAATTTATACAGAAACTTAAATTTATCTCTACGAGTTTCATACAAGAATTGTTACTTTAACATGGATGAGTTTGAAATTTGCAAGGAAATAAATAACAGCAAATGAGCCAAAACCCATATGTATGGTAAAAATAGTTGCTGTTTATTTGTCATCCATTAAACAATGTAACAAATACAAAATCAAATTTTTGTCCAAAAAAAACTTCACTGATGTTAAAAAAAGATGGTTAAACAAAAGTTAACACCAATTGTCAATGTCATGCATACATACATTTCTTTTACAAACATACTAAATCTGCTGCCTTTCATCATGCATTTATCTTACATACGAAATATTTAATTTAAACAAAACATTTGTGTGCAACTACAGCCATGCATCAGACAATGTGTGTACCAGCTATACATATAAATCAGTTTCTTTTTTTTTTTTTGCAGTGATGCCATTGGTTGAAAATAAGTATACATACTCGTGCTAATTTTGTCCTGGTCGTGCTCCTATCTACCCAGCCTGTAACCACCCCCTGCTCTACCCAACCCCCTGTTATTTCTATTTTCATCTCTGTGTTGATTTTCATTACCTCCAAACAATCTTTTAACAAAATCAGGCGCTCCATACTGACTCCATCTGCTCACAGTATACAGCAAGACTCCAAATATAAGTCCATGAATACCAAATATCATCAACACTAAGATGAAACCCACTAAAACAATGGGCTCCACAACTATGTCACCCAATCTCAACTGTGGAATGCCAAATGCAAGAAGTCTTTGGTTCAGAGATTGAAATATATTTATTTGCTGAACTGGTCCCTGGTCATCTCTGTTATCGCCTGCTGACTGAAATCCACCCTATGCACAAAAAGAAGAAAAAAATCAAATGCGTTTCACCTCTTTAAGGATTGACTCATGCATTATGGAACAAAATCTTGCACCTACAACTACAAGCAATATCTTTTACATCACAAATATTTTAAAATTAACTTTTCAATAATTTCATTTTAATATATGACTGCTTTAAAATTAGATTGATGAGTTGCTGTAGTAATCAGAAAAATCTAAGGGCGGGTACCAGTATATAAGAAGTGATGGGAAATTAAATCATTTTAATGAAATTATTACTTATGTACAGTCTGCACCCCCCCCAAAAAAAAATAAATGTAAATTTTCATTTAAAAGATAAAGCACACTTGAATTGACCAACTTAATAAAAATACACCTCCCCCAAAATAAATGTGGTAAATTTTCATTTAAAAGATAAAGCACACTTGAATTGACCAACTTAATAAAAAATACAAAGCCTAATGTAAGTTATTCTTAACTCTTTAAATATTAAGAATCTGGGGTATAAATAATATTAAATCAATAATTATCTGTGGAGTAACAAAATAAAATATGCCTGACAACTACCTGTCTTGTAGGATTTGCAGCTGATCTTCTGGAAGCTTGTTTTACTCTTGGATCATCATCGGGGACAATATCCCCATTAGCCAATATCTTGACCATGACATAAAGTTAATTTGAAGTTTTATTTATTACTGAAAAAAAAGAAACAAGACCCAAAAGGTTAACAGTCTAAAAATAAAAATTCTGATTTCAGATCAGATGATATAATTTATTTATAATATAACTATAATTGATAATGCTTTCAGTGCTGTCACTCTTATTTTTTGCCACAGCTGAAGCTATGAAATAAATGCAGATCATGTGTAAGTGGTGGTAGTGGTGGTAGGGTTTGAGTATTCAACCTCCTTTCTCAGACTCAGAGGTTTGGTATAAAAATAATTAAGCTATGACTATGATTATTATTATTATAAAAATGAACAACAAACATTTTTTTTCTTATATTTATATCAATCAAGTCAAATCAAGTCCAAGTGGTTTAATCTTAGTATTTTGCGGCTGACATTAAGGAGGGATGCCACGGCGTCTTTTGTGTTTATTATAGTTGCAGTGAATTTGAATTAGGGTTTAGGTTAGGTTGAGGGATCGATTTAGGGTTCAGGTTAGGCATAGGGATTGATTTAGGGTTAGGGTTAGGCATAAATTTAGGGTTCAGGTTAGGCATAGGGATCGATTTAGGGTTCAGGTTAGGGTTGAGGTTAGGCATAGGGATCGATTTAGGGATACATTCGTCATTCGTGAAATTCGATAAAAATGTGGCATTCGTGATTAAAATTTTCCTATTTTGCTAGTCTTTGACGTTTGTTAAGACAAACTTGGATGATACTTTTTTTAGTGACTATGACTATGGAAAAAAAAATGATTATGAATATGATTATGATGAAATTTATGACAATTTTAGAAATATCTCCTTGCTATTGTTAGTAGGCTTAGACTAATGAACACATGACAATGTAGTTTTAAAAAACAGAAACATCCGAAGAGAATTTAGATCTAGTATTTAATCTAAAAAAAAAAAAGGGACCCGCCTTTAGTTTAGTTAGACTTAAACTTGATATTGGGATGTCATGGTTTGTGGTAGTTTCTAATTTTATTAAACTGAAAAAGTAAGTTTACAAACAAAAATAGTATAATAATATGATAATGTGTTGGCCTGACGACTGATTGTGCATGCTCACATCAATTAATAGAAAAAAATGAAGACATATTCCTAGTTACACTTATTTATGAGTTAATAATAATAATAATAATGTACTGTTTAAATCTTGATTTGCAATTTCAACTACGACGTGTACAACAAAATATTGTCAATAGGTACACATAACCCGGAAGCAAATCCACTTTCATTTCTCTATTTCACAATTAAACGAGTTATTATTATTTTATTTTTTTTGGAGAGTACTATAGACTATGACATTTTCAGTGCCAATGATGTTTAAATCATTTATATTATACTTTTTAAAGCTCGCCAAACATTGGCAACAGCATAAAGTGAACTTCCCATCTACTGAAGTTACTTGACAAAACATGAACTCAAGTAACGTACATTTAAGAATCCCAATTTTCGCTACACCCCTTCCCCATTATACGTCACAGCACACTTAAATTCACGCCTATCTTTTAATTTATTATCTTAGTTAGGCTATTGCTATTCGGACCCGGTATCAGAAGTGAGAGATTCTTATTAAAAATATTATTGTAAGGTTTGTACGACAAAAGTTGGTATCAAATGAAAGATAATTGAATGGACTATATGTTTATAAACTTAATTTTTCAGTTTAACTAAAATAAACTACCACAAATGACATCCGAATAGTATTAGTATTAAATACTATTCTAAAGAGAACCGGGTCTGAATAGCGCCGATGCGTGTCCGGGTCCATTTTGACTAAATGCTATTCGGATGTCACTTATGGTTGTTTATTTTAGTTTTTGCTACGCTACACCCCTTCCCCCATGATACGTCTCTGCACACATTTTATTTTTACGCACCAAGCGCAGTTGCATAGTTTTAAAAAAATCACTTAGTATTGTTATCGGGAATTATATTTTGCGTGCTATCCCAAAATGGAAGGAGTCAAACCACAAGCTTTTGTTCGTTGGTGGCTGGCAAAATCCTCGAAAGGCTAACTGACCCACTTCCCGCCACCCTATCGAGTAAAAACACGGCACATCGACTCACTGCCGATGACAACGTGACAACACGTTCTATCAAATGTACAGCCTCACCCCCAACCCCATAAAAATCAGTTCTTCAAGGGGAAGACGAAGGAAATAAGATGCTATTATTTCTCCAGAAGTATAGTGTATAGCCATCGTTTATACGAAAAACTTTGTTTAAATAAGTCATGAAATTTATTTTAAAAAAATACATTCCTTCAAAAAAAAAAAAAAAAAAAAAAAAAAAAAAAAAAAAAAAAAAAAAAAAAAGGAAAAAAAAAAAAAAAAAAAAAAAAAAAAAAAAAAAAAAAAAAAAAAAAAAAA